CGCCCCCCGCGGCCTCCCCCCCGCCATCATCTGGAAAGAAAAATTCATCTACACCACACAGAAAAATACACAGAGACAAATACACAGAGACCACACGCCACAAAGGGATAAAAATACACAGGGACCACAAGCCACACCGAGACCACGCAGTATGCAGAGACAACACTACACACGGAGATAACATAACACACAGAGGCAACACAGCACACCGAGACAACACACCACATAGAAGTACAACACTACACACGGAGACAACAGAAAACAAAGAGACAACACAGTACACACAGGCACAAAACCACACAGAGACAACACAGTACCATGCAGACATAACATACTGAGACAGCACAGAGACAACACACCACACAGATTCCAACAACACACAGAAAAAAACACACCATGCAAAGACAGGGTCCACACACAGACAACACAGAAGCTGCAGTGCTCAAGGAGAGGGCTATGAAGAGGGTCTACAGCTGGCAGCAGTACTCAAAGAGAAGGATCTGAAGAGGGTCTACAGCTGGCAGCAGTACTCAAAGAGAAGGATCTGAAGCTGTCTCTTATACACATCTCTCGGAATAGCTGCCTAACCGCCCCACTTGAACGGGTTTTATTAGCGAACGTTCTGCACGATGCTGTTACACCAAATTAGAATAAAATTGTCAAGGTTAAAATAATTGTTTGAGCTGCGACAGTTCCCAAAATAGATAAATTATCTACAGCTACAGCTATATTTACGTACAGCTGCAGTAGGCAAAATAGCGTCAAAGGTAAGGGTGCTAGAATTAATGCCATTCTAGTAGCATCAATTCTAGTAAGGTGCTAGAATTGTGAATGCTTGAGCTGTTGAGGCAGCTTTGATACAGACAGCTGCCACAATATGGATGTATTTCACACTGCTACAGAATTCCTGCCGTATCAGCGATGAAATGCATTTCTAACAGCAGTTTCTTGAGAGCATCGATCACTTTTTAAATCGTGAAGTTAAAAATGCAAAGACTGAAAGGCTCTATTTCATTATTATTTCATTACGAATTATTTCATTCATTATTAATTATTTCAATATTTCATTATTTCTACGGTATTTTTATTATTCATTGCGTGATTTAAGACATATTAATAGCTCAGCCTGTACAATCGAATCTCGATCAATGCTTGTAGCCTCTCACTGCAGCAATGGCTCCGAGTGATATGTGGCACTTGGCATGCGCAGTCACACTCGAGCACGGCAACAAAATACCACGAAGAACAAGACTTTGCATTAAAACCTGCAGATTGAACACTGCGACCTGAGTTGCTAATTAATAATTGGTGCAAGCTGGAGATAGAGCCTAGATTCACTTTTATGATAAGGAAAGTTCTGTGATGATCATTGCTGTAACGTTTCAAGATGGCAAAACTCTACTCGAAATTCAATATGCAAAGTGATATAAGAAGCTAGTCGTGGATCTAATAATTTAATAGGAGAAGGCAATATTTCTTAGTGAACAAGTTAATGCGGTGGACTCTGGTTAGCACTGCTTACTTTTTCCAATAAGAGAAGATCGCAAAATAAACGTCTAGGATGTTAATCCCTTAAATTTTATAATAACTTTTAAGCGATTAGCTTGCTTTAAATGATATGCGATGGAGATCGGCATCTGTCGACCTGAAATACATGAATATTGCGACTTTTTATATAAGGGTCTTATTTCGTTTTAAGTCAAAATAAAAACCTTCTTGATTTTTCAAGTACCGTACCAAAAATAGGTAAATGTCAATACGTTAAAAATAACATCGTGGTTGAAACGTTGACAATAACATCGATAACAATTCTCTGTTAATAATAAAATAACTAATTGGATGTACAGGTAAGCTATTCTGCATGTGCCAATATTCGAGTATGAATTGCTATCAATGTTAGGGGAATATCCACCCCTCAAGACGAGGAAAACGAGGGAAAAATTGCTCTANCAAATCTGGGGGAAAATGGATCATCAAAACATCGCTACGTACACGTAACTTTTTGTACTTACGCACAAGAATTTACGTAATACGTAATTAGTTCAAGGGTCTACAGCTGGCAGCAGTACTCAATGAGAGGGATCTGAAGAGGGTCTACAGCCGGCAGCAGTACTCAAAGAGTACTTCTGAACGCCCAAGACAGTATCAAAACTTACATACGCATGACTTATCTAATATGTTATTATCAAACCCTCAGGCTAACTAACCAATTAGAGGATTTGTTTACCTTCTGCGATCCCCGAAACCTACAGGGGACAGGGTTCTCTGACTTAGTGATAGTAAAGTTATGAGCCGTTATCAAGTGCTAGACATTATTGCACCATGTTGGCCTCGTAAAAAGCCATTAGTTGGTACCAAATACCGAAATAATAGTGAAATATCTATAATAAACAACACAAATCGGTTTCTCAGATGTGTTAAGTTCAATTTGCAAGGTACAGTCATAGCGGTTTCAGCGTTGTTTAGGCCGTAGGCCTGTCGCCGATTCTTAACATTGCAGAACATTCACAGCTTGTTGCGGTCTCGAACCCGCAACTCACTGCTACAATTCTACTGTGCTTAACCGCCCGGCCTCCTCGCCGATTTTAACCTAAAACTGGCGCACAGAGCTGGGATCGAACCCGCGCCTCACTGCGCCAATCCTGGTACTCTGAACTGTAAACACTGGGCCACCCTGCCCAGTCTCAAAACAATATTCACCGTCCGAAGGTTCATCAGCGTCAGCAGACGCGTCTTCCACCGACTGATCGCCCTCAGTTACTTTGCGAGGCTCCAGCACGGAGTAGCCTAACTCGTTGAGACGTATTCTGGAAAGAAAGATACGTTTATTTCAGTAGCCTACTGCTAATTTACAGGCATAGACGAGTATTATATTTATAGCAATTTATAGTGGCACGTATTGTATTTTCAAACAAAATAATGGTTTTAGATGTATTGGATACATATAATATGTGATGCAGTGAACTAGATGCACTAAATGCTCAAGAGACTAGGATGCTAAAGTCCCAAACAGGGAGTAAAGAATCTCATTAGTTCTAATTCCAAAGCTGCCAAGACAACACCGGCTGCTCAAGGACAGTCAGAGGAGATGGAGGACAAGTAATTAGTAGGAATGATGTCCGT